AGGAAAACAGAGCAGTGACAATCTGTTGATTAATGGCCTTGTTCTTAACCTTGCAGGTAGGCAGTGCCTGTTGCAGAACTTTGGTAAACATTTGGTATTTATTTAATGTAGTCATGTACCAAGTACACAGATTATGTAGTGTTACGTAGTGGAAAACATGAATATGTTTATGTAAAATAAGAAGTTAGCGCCAATTTTGTGTTGCTATCATAGCATTTACAATATGCAAGTAGAGTCCGAGGAATACCTTGAAGATCTTGGTCTGTATGGATATGTGCCAGAAAGAAATTCAAATATGAATTGTTTGTATCACCACTGCTTGGTTATACATGTAACGTATCTACTCTCCTTTAATAGCCTTTCATCCTGTTTTTAAAATATAGATACAGACATAGTTTTGTGTTATTTTACAGTTTTAATTTTTGCACTGTTCATTGACAAGGTGCAGAAACTCTTCTTTTATTGCTCGTAGCATCTCTTGCATCCATGGCTTTGCCTCCTTAATCGCACTGTCACTGCCATACCACGTCACAGCCTGGAATATTATGTTTTTGTAACTTTGCAGTTTTTAAACCCATCGTCACCCATTGTCAGGCCTTTATACAGCCTGACCTGTGGTGGTTGTTCTTATTCTTATTACATTTTAGTAAACTCTTGTTATGTGTGCCTTGGAATCTAACCCACTTTTGTGACACAGCTGTTTTAAATTAAATAATAGCTGCCAGAATTTATCATACTTTTAACCCACAAATAGGAACAGCAAAAACTGATCTTCATGCTGGGAAGATCGATTTCAGGAAGGATATTAATGTTCTAAGCTTCGTACGTATCATCGTGTTATTACATTTAATGCCATTTCTGGACAATAAATTAATAAAACATCATTCTAAATTTCTTAATCAGTTTTTGCACTTGCCTGAAACTGTGGGAATTTTCTGACTGCTTTGCTTGTGACATGATTACTTGTGGTTTCAGGAGGTAGTAGTCACAGTGTGGATGGTACAAATCATGTGCTCCTTGGAGAGATGTCTAACGGTCTGGACACGGTAGCTACACCTCCAGTCCTGCGGAATAATTTTCACCCGCGTCGAACCAATCACGACCGGTGTTATGTGGACCTTAGTGGCAGCTGCCCACACTCGCGTCTGAAGCGTTGGTCAGATCCGCGTGGCACGGAGCAGCCTCCCCAGCCCAACTCCTACTATAGCCTGCCCAAGAACCTGCATGCGGAGGCATTTAAGGGACCTGATCTTGGTGCCAGTGCTACTAGTCAGATGGAAGACCACAAGGATGGCGTTGTGGTGGTTGAAGAAGATGTGGATGAGGAGCTTGTTCCTTGCATCAGTATCACGGCCGTGCGTTGATTCATGGATATTAATCATGGAAAGAGAAGGAACACATGATTACCAGATTTTACTCCATTAAATGCAGGTCTGAGAACATATGGTTCAGGATTTTAGTACATAGTTTAAAAACAAATTATTATTATTATTTCATAGTTATGAAACTTTTTATTTAAACTGTTTACGATATAGATGAAAATATGTTGATAAACATATTATTTCCTGATGTACCTAACACTGATGACCACCATTTGTAAACAAATGGAGGTTGCTAATTTTGTGGTATTTTTAAGAGGCTTTAATTTCATACAAATGTTATTGTTCATCAAAGGAACAAATTCCTTTTATTTGCAAGAATAAACATATTTTAAAATTGTTAATTCTTTAGAAAACAAGAAATATGTTAATTTATACTGTACCTAATGATACTGTAATAGTTGACTCTTCTTTCTTCACTTTGCACGTAACTAATTTACGCATTATATCTTGAGTATTTATTTCAGTATTTATTTCTGAGTAGACGTTTCTTCTTGATATTTGTACATAATAATATGTAGGTACCTTTCGTTTCATTACACACTCAGATGAAGAAAATACTGCTTCTTATGCCTTATTGACAGCATTTCTTTAAAGGTGACACATTTCTGTGTTAAGAGTGCACTTTGAAGTTTATTTTGATAGTGTATGTAATATTTACGACTGATTCTTTTTAGGATTGAATTGTTTATTGATTAAATATTAGATTAATTTTGGAAATTGTACAAACTGATCTTCATGGTGAGCAGATGTTGAGTTATTATGTCATATTGTTTGGCATCATTTAAGCAGCTGTAACTTCATTTTTCATTTTAAACTCAGTCTTCAGTATTAATTCCTGTCGAAATTTCAACTGTTGTCTTTTGTGTCTGTTGACATTAACGTATTAAATCTTGTATTTTTTGTCAGTGTGGTAACTACGCAGTTCAATGTTTTATACTATCATGATCGGCAGTTGCTTTTGTGGGATGTGGAAGTAACCAAATGAGTCATATTTCTATACATAGGTTTTAACCACATTAGCAGTAATCTGGATTGAGGTGGTGAAAATGTGTAAGTTACTAGAAATGGAAGAGTAGTAATTTTTTAATGGAGCATCTTTTACACAAAATCATTATATCTATGAAAAACCAAAGTGAAAACATACAACCATTTTATGCCAGATGCTGAGGGCTTATATGCCGTTACACAGTGTATGCAGACAGCTTTTATAAATTTCAGTTTAAGAAACCTTACTCGTAGTGTGTGTGCGATGGACACGGTCTGTTCAGTTGACGTAAGAAATAATGAAGCATACATTCTTGAAGCTGTTTCTAAAAATGAAGAAGTCTGTATTGACTGATTGGAAAGCCATTAATGCGTTAGCTGTATTTATGCCAATTGATGTCCGATCTTTGGTAAAAAGTTTTCATGTTAGGAAATTAAATTGATTGATATGCTAAGTCTGGGTTCACTCGTTAATATGTGCTCAGTTGCAAAACACAATTGACAGAGTAACTTATTGTGTGAACTTGATGCCAGCGCAAAATTAGGTTGACTGTGTTAATAAGTCATTCTCTAGAGTGTCTTAGCTCCACTTTTTATGTGTGGAAATGTGAATTTGTGTTTTTTTTTGCGCATGTGTGCGCAAAGAGTGAAGTAAAAGTATCCTTAACTTTCATTTACAGACGAAATGAAAAAGAACTTAATTCATTTGTGTTTCAATTAAGAGTGTAAGAGAAACTACTGAAGCAAATATTATGAGGTAGCAGGACAAGGTTATTTGTTGCATTGTGTGGAAAAATACATGGGTTGTACAGAATGCGAGAACTGTATTGTGCTAATTGTGTTGTGCTTGGTGGTGTGACTGCTTTAATCTCTTCAAACCTGCTTATGTCCATCATTGTCTGACAGCTTTTGTAGAGTTCTTGAAAATTCTGTGTGTATATAGACTTAGAAACTCGACTCATATAATGTAGTACAAACTGGATGCTAATGGAAAAGGACAGTAGAGACGGAGTTGTCTCTTGTGATTAATTAAGTACTGTGCCGCTGAAGATATGGGAGAGAGGAGGGAGGTATAGTACTGTGCTTCCTTAACCTTGACATAAGATGATGGTGATTAACTTCATAGCCTTGTCCACTTTACTCCCAACAAAAGAGTGTCTAATACCCGTGGGATAGAAGGCTGAGTGGGTCCTGGGGCTCATTTGGACATAGTGGAAAAGAAAAAGTCTCTGCCTTCGTCTGAAGGGCCCCATACACTGCGTTCTTTTTCAGCAGGTTTCTGGGTATGGTTTAGTCCACCAGTTTTTGCCTGTACTGGCTGACTCACAGTTCAGTCGCTTTATTTTGTACCTTCTTAAGACAACTATGTGTGTAAATACACCAGGACACGTGAGTCGGTGCTTGAAATAGGTAGTTGTCCTTATGATGCAGACAGTGTTAAAATGGCTCCTATAATAAAATTTTTGGTTTCACATTGTATTACTAATATTACATTATCATTTTATTGGATATATTAAAAACCATTGAAATAATGCTGTGGTAAAAGTTGTTCAGACCTTGATGCAGTAGAAATTCTGTTATAGGAGATTGCTTCAGACCTGAAGTCTTTATTTAAATGTGTTGATGTTGGCTGAGGAAAAGCTGCAGATGTTTATAAAAAAGAATCAGACCTACAAACACCAAATAAAATGAAATCATCATTTGTCAAGTAATAAAATTGTGTGCGGTGTCCCTTGAATTACTCCTTCATCCACTCACTTTGTTTACACAGTGCTGTCAACTGTCCCAAGACAAAGGCCATCTTACTGGTGAGTCTGTTGACTGTCTTCTGCACCATCGGGGGTTTGTTCACGTGACTCCAGCTGCTGTTTTCTGAGTTGTCTTTGTGTAATCCAGCCATATCACTTAAACAGAATTATTATTTATATATTAAATTATCTTTTGCCAAGCAGTGCAATACTTGCCTTTGTTTTGTATGATTATATGATTTTTGCTTGAAATAGGAAAAGTGTGTCTACTGCAAAGTTTCAACTGTCTCGGAAAAAAATCGGTTGCATTGACTGAGTCTCCCACGTGTATCGAAGGGAATTGTTTTTGTCAACAGATACTGCTAACACAGCTTTTAATTATGGGTACAAGCAGATTTCTGGTTGGAATTAATTTTTGTAACAAAGTTTTGTACTTTTATCCACTTTGTTCTTTCCTTGATATGAAAATGTTTGAAATAGGTCTTTAATGAATAAATGTTACCTACGTTGTGGCCTCTATGTTCCATGTCGCACAAAGAATAGAATACTTCATATTTCAGGTATAATATGTAGGTGTTTGATAAGGAAATACCCATTTGCAGGATGTACAAAATGTCTTGTGCATGGTGAAAAATGGTAGTAACTTATATTCTCATAAACCTGTTATGAATTGGCCTTGCTAATGTAGTGCCTCAGCCTGAAATTTTTTGTTTTTAAGTTCTGGATGAGGACTGTATGTAAGCTTGTGAATTTGGTGATTTAATTGCATTTATTGTAATGCTAAAATGTTACTGAGTTTCTCTAAGAGTTGTTTTAAACTCATACATTTTATAATATTGTATGTAAAGTATTTCAAGTTCATTTTGTAATCTATTTGAACATGTAATTATCGTGCTCGCTCACTGTTCGCACACATTTTAAATTATTTAAAGCATTCTTGGAGGTCATCTGTATTTAGTAGTATTTGCATTATTCTATACACACGTGTCATTTTTATTATATGGCTTGAGATATCACGTTTTGTTCATAAGTAAATAAAAATAAACTTCTCCTTCTGCAAAAAGAATTTCCCGAGAAGAAAATTTCCACACGAACGTAGAGTGTACACATTCGGATCTTCATACTCTGATGACGGAGGCAGTATGACCTCTGAAACGTTAACATCGACCAGACTACACAGCGCAACAACCCAGAAGACAGAAATCTTCATCATCATTATCGTCATGAATTTTCATCAGAAGTGTTCTTCGCAAACGATATAAGTAGCAAACTGAAGGCTATGTTGGTATGATATTGCCACCTGAAATTTTATTTTGTTTCAGAGTTGCGACATGAGGTTTTACGTAATGCGTAACAAATAGTGTGAAGTTAGTTTTCGTACACTGAGTGTTATATTAATGAATCGAAGACTTCCTTCGTAGATGATAAAAAGATCATTTGTGGAAGAATTGCAGCTGCAGATATTGTACCAGGTAATTCGTAGAGTTGCTAGTAAGTTTTCTCATTTTATGATGTGCTTGTACAGTAATATTGAATGTGACCTGGTAATAAAGGCTGTAATTACGCCTGGTTTCTAGCGTCCAAATTAACATTGCAGTGTTTATTCTTGTCACTAATTTTCGTTTTTCACGTCCAATTCATTTTACAAACACATAATTTTTATGTTCATTATAGTTCGCATAAAGTCATAAAGAACCTCTGTAGGAAGATTTGAACTGGGTACTTTCTGATTACAAGGCTCGAAAATTTACCTTTACAACAAAAGGTATTACATGGACACACCAGAACTGAATGTTGGCAGCTTTTCACATGAATGCAGCACCTCTTTCAGTAGCTTTGCAGAGATTATCCGTGCTTTTTGTAAGGACAGTGACGTAGTAATCTGTGACAGAAACTGCCAATTCACGTTTGTGTTCAGTTGAAGGTAGTAAGGAGTGGTTTGTTACAGGTCTCGTTGTTATAAGAATTTATCAAATGTAAGTAAAGACTCTAATGTTTTATTATGTATTCTGGAAAAGCCTGTTATTCTGTATCATAATGTAATTGTAAGTAATCAAACAAGTTTTAAAAGTTGAGAATGTTCATAAAAGTATCAGTGATGTCAGACCAGTAGTGAATGCGGCCGATGATTATAACTGAGATTCCGTAAGCTTCGGACAGAGAATCTGCTAGACTAGATTCATGGATGTGTGTAATACGGCTTGAAGGTTTTGTTACGTGTATGCACACCGGTCTTGAAGGACGTCAGAGTCTCAATAATAAGACTGGAGAGACCTCGTTTATTCAGATTGTGACCTAAACTGAACTACTGCTTTGTGTATACCTTATGACGTGCCACTCCATTTTAGTGCAACAGTAACCTAAAGGCACTTGAGCAACAGTTTCAACCGAGTTCATTGTTGGAACACGTTGCTCAGCAGTGACTTCGGATCACGTTAGAGTAAACAATGATTCGTTAAGAACACTCTTTTAATGTCATTTTTCTAATCTTGTTAGTCGTTCTTTACGCTTTATCGTAAGCGAAGAACGCGTGTTTGTCGATTCTTTCAGCTGTGCTGTGGGCAGACGCAACGACGCGAACTTGATAAGTTTAATGCGCGTTTTGTACAAACAGGTTTTTTGAGAACTTGCACACGAGCTCGGTAATGTGGTGCATCCGGCCACTAAAGGAAGGGAAATTCACCTACTTGGGATTCTGTAGTTTATCCACGGCAAAGCGAAGAGCCAAAAAAGAGAGGGGTAGGGACTTGATATGGATAGGATGCTGTTCTGGCCACTCCTTCGATTCCAAGAGCACAGCACCCAAAGGATGCTCCAGTGATTTTCGACTCGATATAGAAACACGTTTAGGAGCTTCTAGAAAATTATTTTTGTGCTTTCTTATTCCACGCTCTGTTTCCTCACGACTTCAAAATGGTTGAATTTTGATTTTTTGTGGTATGGATTTCCATCTTATCCGATCACCGGTAAGAGTCAAACCAAGAAAGAAACATGTTCTTCACATTATTGATCTTTATATTAAGTTTCGTATTGTTCTGCTGTCTCTTAAAAGCTATATGAAGTAACTTGGTATCTCCTGGTTTATCCAAATGTAAATCATAATTTTTACGGTGGGAATTGTACTCAGTTTATCAGTGTTTGTTGGTGTGGAAGAAGGAATTCAAACAGTATTAAAATAAAATGGAGGAGGAAAAGTTTCATGACACTGTATCAGTTGTAGATGTTATATAGCACATTGTGACATGAGGGTTATGTTCGACAAATTGGAAAATATGGGGAGTCTCTGCAGAAGTAATATATTTATAGAAAATATAAAGGAACTTGCCAGGAATTGTTTAAGAAAAGCATAAAAATCTCGGTGTCCCCGATGAGATTGCAACAACGTACGCTCCGAGTACGAATTAAGGATGTTATCGTTTAGCTGACATGTTATTTTAGTAATTTATAAATGTTTATGACGAAGCTGTATCACGCAATGTCTTGGATCTTCTTAGAAAGCGACGCTTTAGAAACTGGTTTTGTTTTAGGCTTCATACATGGGGAAATTAGCTTGAAGAGGCTGTGTCTGATTTCAGCCATTGAACGGCAGTAGCGCTCACTCTGACCGGGCGGAGACAAATGACCTTGAAGTAAACCAAGACGATAAATGACGCCCATGAAATATTAATAAAAATCGAATTGCTAGAGTTGTCATAATCTCGAAGTAGCATAAGGGTTTCATGTGACTATCATTATGCAGATAATTTAGCGTAAGGTAAAACATGCACATATATGAACGATAGGTTTTACTCAAGTAAAATGTCTTAATACGTTCTAGGACAGTTTCACTCGAATATATATTCTTTTCAGAGGCTTAATGAAAACTGCTTTTTGTGTAGGTTTCAATGTGTACGTAACGGAGAGAAAAAGGGGCTCCTCATTAAATGTAGGTTCCTGACTGACTGGATGACCGCGTGGTGTCATGTCTTTCGAAAAGCTGATAATTACTCAACCGGCCGAATGAACCCCGAAAGTTCATTAACATACATGAGTGGACTGATTATGACATTTGTTTAGCACAATAGCGGAACTTAAATTTTCGCATGAAAATTCTGTGGGGAAATTCAGTTCGGACAAGGAAAATACTTTTTAAAATAAGTCTCACTCTGTAGTAATTATATTTTGGAACATTTAAGGTGGGATATGTATGTCCCAATCACTACATATTCCGTTCGAATGGTTATCATCATGCTTCACATTCGAGAGGTCCCGGGTTCAGATTTCAGCCCAGAGACCGTCTTTTCTTAAAATAGGTTTACGGATTTTCCTCAATCCCTCCAGGAAAATGCCGGATTAGTAAATTATTTTAAGTCACGACAGCTTCCACGCCCCTGTTGTTACGCGTCGATCTTTGAATGCTACCTAATTCAGCTACCGACAACTTTTAAGTAAACCACAAATAAATATGATATGATAGCGGAATGACTTTCCTTCAACCCCGATAATTTTTCTACGTGCTTAGCCGCGATTTCAAGATGGAACGAGAGAGAAACTGCTCTCTCTCTCTCCGTAACTTTATCTTGAGACTGGGGGATTCCATTTAATTTAAAACAGAATTAAATACTGAGAATGCAAATAGAAAGACAACAAAGTAGTTGTTTTCAAATTGACATTCGAGTTTGGGGAATGAGAAGTTTGTTGCTTGGGCAGAGATTCCAGCTCAGACACTTACTATCTGCCTCGTTACGAGACGTCAGATATTAACAAGGAGCACGTAGGGGAAGGTAGGGGAGGAAGGGGCAGGACCCAGGTGGGATTAGAACCCAGAGTAGGTCAGGGCTAATCCCTTAGCCAAGTAGGACGAGACGTTCAATCGGTATCGATTTTGGTGCTAAAATTACAAACTTGAATTCCTTAGTGGGTATTTCCAGATACATAATCCGAGCAGAGAGTTTGCATAATTGAAATTGTACAGGCTTCCTTGTAATCAAGTTGCGTCGATGTTGTATGACGACCGGACATTGTCTTAAACGACTTACGAAGTGCGGTAAGGAATATTTAATGCGAAGGGTAGGAGGATGGCTGTCTTCTGGGACGTAGAACCGCGTAATCCGATAAATATTGACCTGTTTTAATAAGAGTATCTATCAGATTACAGAGCGCTAAATCCAATAAGACAGCAATCCTTATAATTTTAGTAAAGTCCTCCAAAATCAAGTTTAAGGATTTGTATCTAAATGTTTATAAAATGTTTAAAGCCTAAAGCCATGGTTTTGATAAATTATATATAATGTGAATCAGCAATCATATTTTGGTTATAATTTCTCCGCTGGTATTATGTGAGCCACTGCCTTCCAGAAATACCTCACGAATCAATTGCTCACTTAAAAAGAAGTGAACGTGGATTATAACTTCATCACGTTTTCCTTGATAGAATAATGACGCTGATTGTACGGAGGGAGGCATAATGTAATAATCTAGTGAAATCCTCTTAAGTTCTGCTTACTTGTCTAGCAAATTGAAATCTTCTCACACACAGAGAGACTAAATTCAGCTTCGATTGATAAACTCATGTGGGCTAGTTAACAGCAAGCCTCAGAAATGTGCTGCTGCAGAGTTTTCGAATAGTTTAAGGCGTTTCCAGTAGGTGGGAAGAGAGGGGAGGGACCTTGGCGTGAGCGATGAGGCACGGCTTGTAACTTCGATTTGTTGGAAAATTGTACAGTCACTAACTAACTACTCGTAAATGGCTTATTGAATCCGAAGGTTCATCACCGAATTAACCAAAGCCCTCCACCGGACCCTGTCCTGGGGCAACAATGCAGTTTTCTCCATGCCCCATCGTCTTCTCTCTTGGGCCCAAATATCCTCCTCAAACACCTGCAATCTGTGTTCCTCCCTCTGAGTGAGAGACCATGTTTCGCACCCATACAAAACAACAGGCAAAATTATTGTTTTGTATACTTTAATTAATAATTTTAATTATTGACTAATTCTATGGAGTAGAATCCTTCTTGAAAAGCTGATGTTAATTACTCTTAGCTCTTCAAGAGATTTCTTGCCTTTCATAAGACCCGAAGGTTCATTACCCAATCGGTCACTGGTCCCTGTTTTGAGCCAGATGAACCCGATCCACGCGTACCTTACTTCCTTAATACACATTTTAATATTATTATTCCCTCTAACCAGTAATTAATCGCTTAAAAATTCTGCAATAATTTCGAAACATCACGCCATTGCTGTGGGAAGTTAAACGCCTGATAATTCTTGTTTAGGCAATATGAGCAACCGTTGAGTCGGAGAAGTTGCCGCGTGATCACGGCGCACAGGGGCCACAACTTTACTTTCTGCCTGAGATAAGTACGTGATCTGTAGAAATTATGAATTGTATAACAATTAATACAAGCCCCTGCTACAGCAAGAACTTGTAAATAGTGATGGTGCCGATGGAGATAATGGTTATGGTGAATTATGTAGCTCAGTTATAAAATTCTGCGAATGTAGTAATAGTAATTCGAACTCATTGCTGGCAAAAACCGAAGTCAGAAGCATCACACGATGACTGCCATATGAATTCAGTTGACACAGCGTCATTATTTAGCGTCAGGATATTCAAGGCACTGACAAAGCTGAAATGTGGGGTACAAGAATTCTGGAAGAGAATTAAGCGTATATCCACGTGCTTCTGATATCCTAACAAAAAAATTTCCATTTGATCTCCAGTACTTACGCGTACATCCGAATTTCCTAGCAGAATGCGTAATACTTTCTCCACATGAAGTCTGAAAGAATTTTTCATGCAGTCAGGGAATATAACAAACGCTGTTTCCAAACGTTTCCGCTGGGCTGACCTGTCCGACTGTAATACTTTATACAGGACTGCGGCTTTGCCAGAGGTTCCGTGTTCTCCGGTGGGCTGGCCGGCCGGCTTCTGCGTTGTAAAAGAATGCGGTATCATAAAAACAGATGAAGCCGCCATGGAACATTAGAGTAGCTGAACGACGTGGCGAGAGGGCGTAGGTGTTATTGCCAATGCGTAGGAAAATTGTTTACGCAAATAATTTAAGTGATTTTGTACCTTTATGTCATGCCATGAAATAACTAATGCTTAATTATTATTCGTATACTAAAATCACATTTTCGCTAAACAGATGACGGATTTATACTCCAACCCCCCCCCCTCATTATCATACAAGTCTAGTGCCAAATTTCTACAGACTTTGTAAAGATAAAGATTTCTGTCTTCTGGGTTGTTACACCGTGTAGTCTTGTACAAGATTATCGACGTTTCAGAGGTTCTTGCTGTCTCAATCATCAGAGCTATGACAAATGTAGTCGATATGATCACCCTGTGTTAATATTAATATGTGGAAACTAGTATCTTACAAGTGCTTCATTATTACGAACCTCCTGTTTCTGATTTCGCTTTGATGACAAGGTCGTAATTTCAGAATACGTGTAACCGGACTCCCTCAGGCGAAGTCCAGTATATCCCTTATAAAGTAATAGCAGTGTAATATCCAATATATGAAAATGTAGTGCACAGAATATGTCAGTCTCGTTTCTAAGTCAGTATTAAACTCCTTTAGTAAAATGAAGTATTACAGCATTTCGCTGTCAGTGTTAATTATTTTAACCTGTTTTTCTTTATCTTGTTCAGTTTCTACTAATGTTCTTGTCAAGAACTTACCGTATTTTATCAGTGAGCTGGTATTAAATTTATTATTGTGCAAAATGCTCAGTATGTACAAGTTGAAACGCAGTCTGACACAAAATTTGCCAAGCTCCGTAAAGTGTCTCCCTCACAAAAGGGATGAAGTTACTGAAATTTAGCGCCATGTTTTTAAAGTTTCTGAACGCGAATTCCGAATTAATAAATTCAAGTATGTCGAGTGGGAGCCACGGTGGTCTAGAACGCTGGCCTTGTAATCCTGGGGTCTCGGGTTCGATTCCCGGCGGTGCCCCTAATTTATAACTTGTGTTGGGCAAGGCCGCGGGCTAGAAAACACGGAGTTTTCATCCGGGGGCTTCCCCGGTTTCTCCGTGGCATCCCATTCACACACAGAAGAAGGCAATGGCAAACCACTTCTGGATCATCTGCCAAGAACGTATATGAACAGGTCCCAGTCCGAGAAAAGGATGGAAGGATCCTGTTCATATGGACCTGTCGTCAGACAGAACACTAAAAA